TAAAGTTTTTGCAAATGAAGAAGTTTATGGGGTTTTTGATCAATAGACTATGTGGCCAGAGTAAAAAGCCTGAAAAATGTTCTAAGACACATGGCAAACAGATCTTCCTCTACTTGCTTACTAAGACCAGAGTTCAGGATACTGTGTGCAAATTAATGGTATCTCATATTCGACAAGGACCTGTGACTTTAATGCTCACTTATATGAGGTGGCTGAACTGCTGTTATAAATCCTGTAAAATAAATAGAGCTAAATTGGTTCTAAAACAGGACAGATTGTGTCAGCAAATAATCTGTTGGAGGGGACCTGTGATGTAACTAACTCATGTCAGAGAAACATGGAACCCTGGATTTGAGTTGTTGCCAAGAAGTGCAGGGGGAAATGGATTTCAAATATTAATATTTGAAAAAAAGAAAAACAGTTAATTGTTTTAAAATCAATGCTCTGTTACTGAATTGGAATTTGAAAGAGCGATTTTAAACTGGTGGGGCTTTTCAGATCCGCTTGAAGAGTTCTACCAATATGATCTCCTTAAAAGGGTCATTTATATTTTATCTTTAAAACCTTAGGTTCAACGTATTGATTGTTCCATTGTCAGGGGTGAATTAAATTCTCTTGTCATTTCAACTTTCTTTTTTCTCCACCTTCCCCCTTCCTTTTATTAGAGAAATGGCTAATACTGTTAAAGGCTTCCTGCTGTTCCCAGTGGGCCTTCTGTTCTCCTCTGTACTTCCATGGCATCAGCCATGAGTCACTGGGCCACGCTCTGATCTCGTGTACACTGGTGTAAATGTACTGGGGTTCCTTTATATTGACACCAACCAATGTAATAGGAAGCAGAACATTTCCTGAGGTTTTCCTTTTCACACTCATTCAGCACAGGGGAGGCTAGATCACCCTGCAGGAGCAGTATCAAGGTTATTGTCTTCTACAGATTATAGTGTCAGCGTAGAAACTTCCCTCTCAAATTCATTGAAATACATCTGACTCACTGTGCCTCCACCTCAGCATCCTTTTTCTCTAGCCAGATTTGGCTGGAAGCTGATCACCTTCCATTTGAATGGCCAATGGGCGGTTTCTAGGCATCTCCACACACGGCTCGATTAGACTGAAAGCAAGGCTCTCTTTTGATCAAGCAAGGTAGAAAATGATGATGATGCTTTCAGCTAAGATAATGAGAACCTATTTCAGTCTAGCTGAAATTCAGCCTCCAAGACACATCCTGTGTCTTTTGCTTGTCCCTGACAGCGTATCCTATGTTACTGATCATCCGATGGTTGGCAGAGAGTGTACCGTTCGTTTGGCATGCTTTGTCTTCACTGCTTTGTGCCAAAGATTCCAGATGTGCATTGCATTTATTCTGTTAGTGGAACCTTGAGTTGCATGATTCCATATGAGCATGAACACTAGCAGTCTAATTAGAGGACCTGCAGCTACTCTTTGTCCTGTGTATCCAAAAAGGTGACCTAGTAAATCTACTATATATTTGAGAGAGTTTCTCTTTCTGTCTGTTTGTTCGTGTGTTTGCATGTTTGTTCAAGAATGCCTCCTAAATGGTAAGACCTAGAAGCACCAAATTTGGTATGCAGCTTCCTCTTATCGTAACTGAAAGCAAGGAAAGGGGTTGGTTGTGCCAGAAAAATAGGATGCACCTGGAATGGGATTGCTTCTCTTAAAACCAAACAGAAAAGCGACAGAATCATCATGTAGATGAAAGGGGGGCTATTCCCCCCCATCTGGGACTGTCTCAGCCCCGAGTCTCCCACCCTTTAGGTGCCCTGTAGGTAGAGCAAGGAGGGGGGACTGAAACTCCCTCCTCCCCCAGATTTGTGCAGGTACATTTGTGACTGTTTCCCTTCATCAGGGTACCAGGGCAATGTGCAGAGTTTTCTGCATTTCTCACTCTGGCTGGGGAGCGCAGCGGGCAAATGAGCAAAAATGTGCTAGTGAGAATATAATGATCATGATATTTACATCAAATCCCAGTATGAAGCCCCATCAATCAGATTTTCACATTCATAGGATTGCTGCGTATTGGAGAAATATACCTTCATAGCTTCAAAAATATACCTAATTATATCAGCTACTTAGAGTGGCAAAAAAATACCACTATGAACATCATGGACATTATGCAGGGATCTAGCTTGTAGGGGCAGATCCTCCAATGGTGCAAATCAGCAAAGCTCCATTGAAGTCCTTGGGACACCAACTTACACGAGCCGCTGATCCAACCCATTCCATTTGCTCACGTATTATAGTGCTCTCACGGGTCCATGGGATTTTTACAGAGCTGATACATTTTTTCCAAGCTCAGTGTTATTTTGGATATCTTAGATCTTCTCTAATCAGCTGCTTTGAGACTCTCTGATTCCCCTCATGACTATTCGGGGCTTCTCTACTCAATCGTTTTTCAACTCGTTAGGTATTTCTGATCTTCCCCTGCCTGCTCTGTTCTTTTTCTGTTGTGCCTGATCTCTGACTGTTCATACTCGACTCATTAAAAATTGTGTTCTAACAAAGCGAGAAGAGCCAGTTTTGGCAACTAACATTTTACGTCTGCAGGCTTCCTCCAGTGAATGTGAAGTTTGCTTTGGGTAGCTATAAACAAATGTAAACAGGTTTTCTGTGAGCTAATGTAATCACATAGCTTTTGAAATAGTGCAGCAGCATGAGTGAGGGTGGGGAGTGAGGGGGGCAGGTTGCATACATGTGGTGACTGAGATTTATAATTCTGCAGAGACAAGGAATAAAAACATAAATGCACTTTCATTCCAATGTGCCTTTATTGCCTTGATTTAAAGCTGGAACTGGCTGAAGTGACCTTAAATCATCCTGGGCTTATACCATTAAGAAGTCACATGTGCAGCGTTCATCTTTGCACATTTTAGAAGCTCTCCAAATAAGCAATCACTGGGGACCTTCATCTTCACGAGAGCCTGAGATTAGGAGGATAGCAAATAGAAATGCTCCTTTTGGCTGCAGGATAAGTTAAAATATCAGAATGCTAAGAGCAAACAATTTGCTAAATCCCCATTTCAGCCTCCAGCCTTTGCACTGAGCAGCTAATTCCTTTGTTTAGCGCTGTGGTGTTTTATCTCCAGGTGGGAGGGTGGTGCTTTCTTGAGCCAATATCCCTGCTGTCTGCAGATCAGGCAGACCTGGCTGTTCTGTGCGGAGTGTGGCAGCTGGCACATTTTTCCATCCCCAGCAGGAGACTGAGCATTTCATGGTTTTTAACACAGTTCACCAGCTGGGATTGAGTCTCCCCAAACACACCACACACCATACCAGCCCAACATCCAACATTGTAGCAGTCCCATAAAGCAGTCATGCTCCAGAGTTCTCTGAAAACAAGTTAACGGGTATTAAGTTGTAATATGCTATGATGGGCTTTTTCTATCAATAGCCTCAAGTCCTTCTCTGGAGAGACAAGATACAGCTCAGCCATCAAGCAAGAATCCTTCGACCTGGACTGTTGATGATGTGATTTGGTTTGTGAAGGATGCCGATCCTCAAGCATTGGGCCCACATGTGGAGCTTTTCAGAAAACATGTACGTAAGAGGTGGTCCATGACATAACCAGTCTATTTGAGCTAAGGCTACCAGACATTGACTTTACTAAGTGAAAGCTTATCCTATGAGGCAAGTATCATCCTCAGTGCCCATTGGCTGCAGAGGGAGATGCTTGTGCTCGGGTTTACAAGACACAGCTGGTGTTAGCACATAAGTGCTGGAATTTAGCTCTATATTAAAAAGAACTTCCAGGTCCAACCAGGTGATTCGTGCTCCACCTTTCCAAGAGAGAGAGAAGAGTTTGGCTACTAGACCCATCCACTAGCTCTCTGTGCCAGCAGCGGCTGAGAGTAATGTGTGGAGGAATTGCTCTCCAAGCCCATGGAGGGACGCAATGGCTTGTGTCATTTCATAGCTAATTCTCTGGGCTGGGAGCTTCTGGCCGTATCTTTACTAGCTCCAAAACTATCTTTAAATGAAATTCTGGCCAGTAAGGTGCTAACTTAGATTCTTCAACCATTACAGACATGGCTCTCCTGGTAACCATTTTGCAAAAGGATGAACTAAATGAGCAATTGCAACAACACAATCTCATTTAGCCATCTGCAGATTAAAAGAAAGTTGCCATGACAGGAGGTTTTGAGAAGGGTGGATGATGTAAAGCGTGTGTGAATGTGAGAGGAGATCCCAGAAGCAGGTGCAGACTTCCCTGCTATTCCTCACCCCTGTTCCCAAAAGAAGAATGTTGAGGAATTAAAGTTACAAGTCTGCCTAGTACAAAAGCATCAGGGAAGGGTTTTGGTTTGGTTTGGATGTTGCAAATGGAGCGAATTCTGACATTATATTGTCTTACACAGCATGGGGCCTGGTGCACTGGCCTCTCAAGGGGACCTGTGCTGTAGGGTTCTGCATGGTGCCATAGTCCTACAGTACTGGTGACTAAAGAGACTTGACTGAATGGGCTCTAAAATTTTCCACACCCTCCATTGTGAAGCACCCAGCGCCGATTGTATGTACTTAGTCGGTTTAATTGTAAAAGATGCAATAAGTCTAAGAACTTGGGTGAGGCTATAGCACAACTCAATTCAATTAGGCCTTTGAAATATATATATCCCTGCCATTTCTCAACCTTCAGATCTATGCTGGATTAGCATAGAGACCCCAGAGGTGAGAAACAAGTGATTAGTCCATTAACCTTAGGCATATCTTCCTGTGTGTTAAATCTTTCTGTGAAGCATAATTTACTTTGAAGCACTTAATGTCATTGACAGGCCCAACAAGCACCTGAAATCATTGCTTTAGAAATCAACTAATCTTAGCCATGACACTGGAGTTGTAGCAGGGAGGTACAATTAGCAGAAGGAGGAAAAGGAAATGAGGACAGAGCTATCTCTTTCCCCGTTATATTTAAAGTGGCCATCAGGGTTTGGGGATTGACTTAAACTTACTATGCCAAATTTGCCTGAACAGCTATGGGAGAGATAAATCCCTAAGCCAGTCTATGCCCCTATCTCCATCACAGGGAGAGCAGTGCCCTCCCTCCCTGGTGTTTTTCCCATATAGGAAGGCAGCTCTCGCTTGTGGCCAAAATTCTGCAGTAACTCTGTCAAAAGTGGCTATGGAGGATGTGCACTGAATCTATGAATCCCCCAGTGTCCAGAGATGTTTTCTGCACTGGACCTCTCCTGGGGCAAGTTTCTGCACCTGGAGCCCCTGCAGTAGGCTCCAGGCTGAGAGAAATCTAGCCCAGAATTAAGGGGGTCACTGAAGGGGGCAGAATTGGTCTGAGACGTTGCTCACCTCTCTCGCAGTAGCATTTCTGGTGCCAAGTGTGAGCTATTTTGCAATGACCTCTTAGCAAGATGAAAGGAGCCAAAGTGATACCCAGCAGAGAGAGAAAGAGAGGGAGTTGGGGGGAGGGGAGTGTTAATACATGAGGGAGGAATACAAGGAAAAATTAAGAAGTAGCAAATCAAACCAAGAAGGAGCAAAGCAATGCAACAGTCTGATAGTTTAATTATGGTCAGTTATTGGCAAATGCATATGTAAAGGAGACTAAAACCTATATGTTTAAGGTAATTAAACCTTCAGAGGGGTAGCCGAGTTAATCTGTAACAGGAAAAACTTAAAAAACAATAAATAGTCTGGTAGCACTTTAAAGACTAACAAAACATGTACAGTCTCTCCCCAGGTTACAGGACCAAACACTTGGCCGTAACTCGAAGTGTTCGTAACTTGGACCCCATTGAATTACATGGCTACCGCACTGTTTGTAAGCGCGGATCACGTTCGTAACTTGGGGACCGCTTTTACGACCGAATCGGTCGTAAATGCGAATGGTTGTAACTCGAATGGTCATCTGAAGAAGTGGGCTGTGCCCACGAAAGCTCATGATACCATCTACATGTTTTGTTAGTCTTTAAAAGTGCTACCAGACCATTTGTTGTAATTAAACCTGTTCATTCAGAATTATAATCTGCCTCTTCCAGTGATGGATTCTGTAACAGTAAGCACATAGCTTTTTCTACACCATTTTCATATTGAACATTTTGGCTTTGTTCCTGGCAGCTTACCACTCGGCAATATTGCTTGGAGAGGGTGACCTTACTGGGTGGGGAAACTTTTCCAGCTTCTGAAGTGGGACCAAGAAGGGCAGTCTTATTTTCATGATTTAATCTTTTTAGTCACTAATGGCCTGATTCTGCAAACCTTCATTACTGAGTCTTAGCAGTAGCTATTCTGGATAGTGCTAGTGAATCAACCCCACAGGGCTAGTTCCCATTTAGGGACTACTCACCATGCTCTGGAACAAGAGTTTGCAGAGACAGGCCTTAATACAATAACACTTTCTTATTGTATTTGGAAGCTGCCTGCTAACTCCAAATGCTATCGCACGCTTGCTGTACTTGGGAAACCTGAGTTGTTTCCTGCTCCCAATCCCTTATAAAAACACTTCAGTCATTTACCATAATGGTCCAAATTACTGTGGACCAGACCTCAACTCATGTATGTCAACCTAACTCCGTTGACTTCCGTGATTTACACCTGTTAAGGATCTGGTCCTGCCTCTTCTAATAGTGCTATTGCAAAGTTTTAGATCACTACTGTAGAATTCTGCAATACATTTTTATAAGCACGGACACAGTGCAAATAAAGAGAAATCAAGCATACATACTTTTCTACAGAGGGATATACCTATTAAAGGATATTTAATTAAATATGAATGCTCCCTCTGGTACACTCTTGTCATGTAATTTAATTCTAACCCTTACATACCAATCATGTTAAAGGAAAAACAACACCCATATCAACATTTAGAAAAGTCAGATTCATTCTAATTGCTTGTCCATATTTTATTTTACTTCAGGCTATGCTCCAGAAGATTGTTTTTCTTTATGCTAGGCAAATGCAAGTTATACCCATATTTGAATGCTGCATTGATTCTTCCTTTATCTTACCTTCCTAAAATGATAGGAAAAAGAGATAAGGAGCAAGAGGTTTCCAATATTGTGTGTTGGGGCAGGTGGTGGAAACTGATGACCAATTGCTGAGTGAGTGAATCAGAAAGAAGTCTTACTGTGAGTCAGCAGTAAGCACAAGAATGGTCCATGCAAATTAAGATCCATAGTAATCTTCATTAGTATAACATGGATCACACAGACAAGATCTCACCATCACATAGAAATGATTGCAATGCCTGGAAATCATGTTCGTACTTAGCACTGATTTAACTTCAAAGTGCTTTGATGAAACTTTAAAATGGACAAAATTACAGCCAGCTCCACTTACAACGAAGCCATTTGAAGATGCATCAGGAAGATGTTACCCTCAATGGAATGTCTGCTCGGGGTATGTCTACACAGCAGCATTATTTCTGAATAACTGATGTTATTTTGAAATAACAAAATGTGCATTTACACTGCAAGCCATTATTTCAAAATAATGTTGAGCTGGAGGATTTCTTACTGCAACCCCTGTAACCCTCATTCCACGAGGAATAAGAGGAGTCAAAAGAAGACTGTTATTCCTTCAACTGCCTGCTGTGTAGACAGCACCAAAAGCCAAATTAAGTTATTTCGACTTCAGCTACGCAAGTGACAGGTTCTACATCTCAATTCTCTCTCTCTCTCTCTCTCTCTCTCTCTTTTAAACCAGGAGATTGATGGCAATGCTTTATTGTTGCTGAAGAGTGACATGATCATGAAATACTTGGGGCTGAAATTGGGACCGGCATTGAAACTTTGTTACCACATCGATAAACTCAAGCAAGCAAAGTTCTGACATTTCCTTCAACAGTGACCCAATCACAACATAATCCAAGAGAGCAGACGAAAGGTAACATGTTGCCTTACAGAAATACATCAATTGTGAATTGTTTTTCCCTCTTTTTTAACAAAGACTTTGTCTTTTTTAATACTTGTGCATCTTCACCTTTTTTTAATCCAATGGGGTCTTTTAGCTGTTCCGTGTTAATAATTTGCCAAAAAGTATATAATTACAGTAATTATTTTATATCATTAATATTGTTATTATGATTATAGTAAGTCCTATTTTTGTAATCAGAAGTGGGAAATCAGAAACAAATACAGCTTTGACACATGCTGAGGATTGATGAGAGACAATAGAAGAGTCACTCATTAGCTACCTGTCTGGGGTATAATTAGTAACTTGCCAACATGGGTGTGTGTGGTCATAATGCAGACCCACGAACAAGAGCATTTTGAGATAAAAGGCCTAGAAAAGGGCCAATTAATGTCATTTGTTTGGTCTGCTATTGTTGTCTTATGGGCACTACCCCACATCTTGCACTATCTGGAAAACTTGAAATTCGTTAGTTAAAATAGAAAGTTTTTTCTAACGACTGAAGGAAGTACCTTTTTTCCTTCTAGAGGGAAAAATCTTATTAAACTTCAGGATTTAGCTGCTGATGACATAGTGGCTTTCAGTAGAGTGTGCTTTAGCCACCTTGATTTTATGTCTAATATACACACATATTAGGAACTGCAGCTCCTAGCATAACTTATCCTTCACTGCTCACAGACAACTAGTTCACCATTTAGCAAATCAAAAATGCAGAAAGTGTTCTTGATAGGATGCCACAAAAATCATTACGTTAAAGAGTGGGTGGCTAACACCCCAGCTAGGTCTACACTGCAGGCTTCTTGCTCAAGAACTGTTTTGTGCAAGTGTTCTTGTGCAATAGGTCTTGCGTAAGAGCACGTTCACACTGCCATGTGCTTTTGTGCAAGAGCGTCCATGGCAGTGTGGATGCTCTCTTGCACAAGAAAGCTCTGATGGCCATTTTAGCCATAGGGGTTTCTTGCGCAAGAAACCCCTGTTTCCCATCCACACTGCCTTCTTGCGCAAGAGGGCTTATTCCTCGTGGGGAGAGGAATAACTCTTGTGCAAGAAGCCCTCTTTTCTGATGCTCTACTGTAAATTTACTTGCGCAAGAACACGCGTGCAGTGTAGATGCTCTGCAAGTTTTTGCACAAGAACAGCCATGCAGTGTAGACGTAGCCCAGGGTGTCTGGCATTCTCAGCAGTCTGCCTCCTTCCTTGAAGCCATGCCTATGTGACATATATTTTGTGGCACTCTTTAAAAGAACAAAAGAATGCAATGAAAGTATTCTCCCAAAGGAAGTTGGAAACACAATGCACACTGTACATTTGTAACTGTGTTTATCTAAAAGGTAGATTAATTTCCTTACTGAAGCTGCCATTGTGGATAATCTTGTTAAAATTCAGCACATAGGCAGAGATGTTGAGCATTAGGACTTAAGTAGATTCAAAATGTCCTTCTGCACTATAAAGAACCAAAAAAAAAAATTGTTCACATTTTATGTAGCTATGCCAGGATGAGTATATTTTTAAAAATAGTAGATTACTTGTGGGTCAAATATGCTCTTATTTTCTTCTTTTAAAATGAGATTTAGCAAAAGGATACCTCCACCCATTCATCTTAAATAGCTTTCTCTTAATGGGTGTCTAGATTTCTTAGCAACTCTTTGAGATATTAGAGCTATATGATAGCCATGCTCAACCTGTCTCCAAGAGGGATGACAGTGATCAGACAGTACTACCCAACTCTGTTTACATAGAATGAAATGTTACCAAAAATATCTTTCAGAATAAAACTCATTTTTATGTGCAACATTATAATAAACCTGCAACCAAGATTCAAATTCAGGGCCTGATCCTGAAAATACATATGAATGTGAGTAATTTTAATCCCTTGAGTAGTTTCATTGAACTCATTGGGGTTATTCACATGAGTAAAGTTAATTGTGTGCTTATATGTTTGCATATAAACTGACCAGTTTTCAAGTAGCCCTGTATGCACATTGAAATGCCTTTGAAATGAACACCTTAATAAATGTGTCAAATGGATTCCTATAATGCTACGTATAAAATAGACTACTATCTAATCACGCTGACTATTAGAACTTTAAACTGAGCTTCATTGCTTTATGTCTATGTTGCACAAAATGAAAATCTACTCCACCAGATGTGTGCAAGAGACATAAAAGCATTCATACCAACATGATGGTTGTACCATTCATTGTTGTATTTTTAAAAGTTGAATCTTTTACCTACAATAATGCTACTTATTTGACCTGCTTTTAAAGTCAGAGCCCCAAAAATATAAAGACTTTAATATATCTGTAATGTCACATTCAAAAAATCCTAGGACAATCTAGTTTGCTTACATGTTTTTTCTTATTAAAAAAAAAAGAAGAAAAGAAAAACCTATGATTTTAGTTCCTTCCATCCAAATACTTATTTCACTGTAATATCAATAACTCTAAATGAGAATAGGTCAAAATTTTCCCAGTGGAATTTGTTTTCCATTGCAAAATGCCATTTCCTCACAATCTAAAAATGGGAAAATATTAATTTTGAGAGAACTTTGTTTTGGAAAGCGCCCCAAAACCAACATTTCACTATTATTGAAAAACTTCACTTTTTACATTCATGGGAGGGAGCATTTTGGGAGGTTTGTTTTCAAAACAGCATTGTTATTTGGAAATATATTTCACTGTATATTATATAGAAAGTCTAATTTGAATGAAATGTTGCAATTGACACAAACCATTTTTTAAAATTTCATTTTGCATAATATTTCCAAAGTCAACATTTGGATCTGCTTTGGAACAAACCAAAATTCCAAATACTGGCGTTTCCCACAGAACAAACATTCTGGTTCCTCACAACTCTTCTCCTCACATGCTTTCTTTCCTCTCCCTTCCCCTCTTTTAGCCATTAAAAGTGAATAGCAGTCAGAAGCCTGAGACAATGTTCACAACATATACAGTATAAACTAGTTAGCAACAATGATACTTTGACATTCAATGTGCTGGAAGAATTTCATACACCATTGTATGAATCTTGTATATATATGCAGTCAGTGGTGCTATTTTTTATATTAAACTTTTATGTATGACAGACTACTGAAGTCAGGATGTTTAATGTTTTGTCCTTGATGTCTTGTTTTCATTAATTGTATTATATAGAAGTACAACATATAGCAAAAACTCCTTTTTGTGTGTTTTGAAATTCAAAGCAATTAGGAGAAAAGCATTATTGTAGACATATTGCAATTATAACTAAGTTTTTCCCTCACAAGTCTTGTCAAAGACCGAAGTTAAACAACTCTGCTGTGTAAAACGGGTCTGGCCATTTCTTCTCAACAAGTACTAAAGAGTTAGAACATACATGTCATTCATTTCCAAATAAGATGCATGTACAATTTACTTTGCTTCTTGTTCCGTTGACAGCTTTCACTTCAGACTTTAGCCAATCAAGGCATGTATACATGTGTATATCCTCAGAAGCAGCTGTCAGCCATTTTCTACTTTAAAAGAATCATATCTGGATCAAAAGACATTTGCTTCAAGCAATGTCAACATTTTATGGGTATTCCCTTTAGTAAAGTGATGGAGGAATAATTTAAGAATTTGTGGGAAAGCTGAGTGTGAATTCTTTAGTTACTGCAGTTAAAACTGCAGTTGTAGAAGAGTAGACCTGTGCCCCAAATGTATCTGTTACTGACCTTTTTAAAGTTGTTGGCCAATTCTACCTATTCTGTTGACACAGATCATTCATTTTATCCTGTCACTGACTACTGCTGCTTTCATGGCAGTATCTCCCTCAGCAGGAGTGGCTGGCTCCGTATCCCCGGAAGGGGCAGGGCTGAGGCTAGCTTTCTCCAGGGAGCTTCACCACCACCTGGAGTGTGCCAAGTGCTTTGATGTGGGTGGGCAAAGAGGGCAGTTGCTCCAGTGCCCAGTGATTCAAAGGGGCCCAGAGCTTGCGGCTGCCGTCGATGCTACTGCGGCAACAGCGGTGGCCAGAGCCCACGACCCTTTACATTGCTGACAGACTGCCACACGGTGCATTCTGTGCAGCTCTGAGAGGTGGAGAGGTGTTGTGGAGGGCTGGCTGCCCCAGCCCCGCCCCTTCTGTCCAAGGCCCCTCCCATTCTGTGACCACATAGGCAGTCAGCTCCCCTGGCTGTACCTTCCCCCGGAAGCCCTCAGTGCTGCTCAGAGCATAACCACATGGGCTCCAATAGCCATTTAAAGGGTCGTGGGCTCCAGATACTGCTGCAGTAGCACCAGTGGCGGCTGGGAGCCCTGGGCACTTTTGAATCACCGGGCACCAGGGCAGCTGCCTCCTTCCCTTATTCTCATTGATGGGCCCATCCCTCACTGACAAATGCCTTCCTCCAGAGCAAGGGCTACATTAGCTTCATACACTGCCCCTTGGCAATGCAGGGCTTCCAGTCTCCTCTTGGGCTGTGCCTGCTTTGGAACCTGGACCTCTCTTATGTGGCTCTTGATACATTTAAAAGGCAGAAGCATAACAGGGGACCAGGCATGAACCAGGACAGCTGATTCCCAGTTCGCTCCCGGTCCCATTCCCTCTTCCCCTCCCCCGCCCCCCCCGCTATGCCTCTGCCTCCTCTGCCCCCCACGGAGATGGTGCTGGGGGGCACCGGCTTTTAAGCTGGCTCCCCCCAGCACTGGCTCCTGCTTCCCGCCCCCTTGCTGCCTCTCTCTAATAAAGGCAGCAAGGGGTGGGGGGAGCGACTAGTCGAGTCACTGCTCATCTATCCCTTAAGCTTACATCTTTAGTGTGAAACAGAGACGCCTCATGTCCCTAGTGCTCTAGTCGAGAGAATTACTGTATATTGTCCATGAAGCATCTATATACTGAGTCTGTTCTACACAGGCATTTTGATCTGTTTTCTCCAATCTCCCCATTGGATGTAATGTTACAAAAATTCTCAGTTGACACATGGCTTCTTCTGCATCAAAGAACTAGAGAGTGTTAGGAAAATAACTCACAATAAGCCTTTTCAGGGGAAAAATGGAGAATTGAGTCCTTTCCCAAAAGCAAACCTCAGTGCAAGCGTTCCAGAATGCAGCACCCAAACACATAAAGGGTCACACTTTTTATGATACGGTAATAGGTCCAGGATTGCAAAAATGGGAAAATCCATACTTACAAAATTGGTTCTAACTCTGCACAGATTTACCAGAAAATGCCAACAAATCACTGCACACTCTGCCTTTCAGTGCTTGCAGTAGTTACAGGCTGCTCTCTAATCCACACTCCCTTCATGGACAATTGGAAATGGTTTCTCTTGGAAATCTAAAATTGTACTTGAAAGAGAATCACTTTTATTCATTGCCACGAGTTCAATATTATGGAAACATGTCTGCTAACAATTTGCTTTGTGTAATTTGTACTAATGCTAATAAGCAGCAGCTGTGATGCTTCCTGTTGTAAAGTCTTTTGTGGTTGCAGTGGTATTATCACATATACTTCCCCAATGTGATAGACTGTAGCCAAGCTCTTATTCTGACACTATGCAGCTTGTGCAAATTCCCTCGACACAAAATAAGAACTATGCAAAACTTCATTAAGAGGTTGTGTCTCTCTTTGTTCCCAGTCTCTGAACCACCAGGTGCTTGGGTCTAAGCTGACGGGTGTGTTCACATGATGCATTAGAGATAAGTCACGGCATGTGTAATGTTTTGAACAGGACTGGTTTCAGCATAAGTGCCAGTGGCCGGTTAGGTTACTTGCAGTTTAAGCAATGGGTTTTCAATCTGAGGTTAACCAGTAGAGAAATAGTAGAGTAAAATATGTTGGCACTTTAAGGCACAGACTGAAATACAGATGACTTTTCTCGGCCTCAGGCC